CCTGCCGAAGTCGTGAGTCATCGTCAGTCACTTCCATCCAATTCAGGATAACAGCAACAGTCCCATGTCTTCCAAGATCTGTCACGTCGTTCTCTTCTGCCTCGAGCCCGTGAAGGCGGCAGAGAAGTTGGTGGAGCCCACCGTGCGGCACCACCTGCAGCTGATGCGTGACACCATCCCCGGCCTGTTGGAGGTGAACTTCGGCGCGGCGGCGTCGGCGCTGTACAAGGACTACGTCGACTGCACCAACGGCTACACACACTGCCTTGTGTCGAGGCACGTGGACGCCGCTGCGCTGCACGTGTACGCCGGCCACCCCAACCACATGTCATTCGCGGAGATCATGAAGTCCCTTGGCACGAAGCCACCCATCCGCATCGACTTTGAGATTAAGGAGTGACGAGTGCGGCACCAAATTTTATTTTCTTGCTAATACACGGCAGTGCAACATGAACACGCNCATCGACTTTGAGATTAAGGAGTGACGAGTGCGGCACCAAATTTTATTTTCTTGCTAATACACGGCAGTGCAACATGAACACGCTACCGTGTGGCGGCGGCGTCATTAACTGTGGGTCCGGTACGCAAAAGATATAATAATATAAAAGCAAACACTACGAACTGCAAGGGAAGCGGCATCGGTATCGTTCGTTCTCCCTGTATGGGTCTCTACTCTGTGATGGTTGGTGTGTCTATTGCTGCGTGGGTGTATGATGCCTCTTCTCTTGCTCTTGTACAAACTGTTCGTGTGCGGGGGGAGAAAGACAAGGAGTGCTTCGACGGTGCGAACCATCAACATAGCGAAGTGGCACACGTTTAAAGGAAAGAAAGAATCTAAACAGATAAGAAAAGAGGAGCAGAGACACACGTGGGACAAAAGGGTGAGTCTAGAGAAAACAACAACAGCTTTTCTTTTCACACGTTAAAAGGAATAGCATTAGAGTTTTGATTAATAAAAAAGCACAAAGAGGGGGAAATCATGGCATCTGTGATGCACGTGGTCCTGTTCAAGCTGCGTGACGGCCTCGACGAGAAGAAGCTGGAAGAACTCATCCACAACGCCCGCCAGGGGATTTCTGGCCTGCTCGAGCTGCACTTCGGCGCGAACAACATGTACATCCACAAGGATAAGGTAATCTTGGCGGACGGTAACACACACGCACTGGTGTCGCGCCACGAGGAGGAGAAGGCGCTGGAGAAGTACCTATCGCACCCGCTGCGCCAGCAGCTCGCGCGCTACATCCTCGCACACGCCGAGCGTGCGCCGACGGTGGTGAACTTCAACACGACTGTCAAGTCCCACCTGTAGTGCGCGTGCCCGCCCATTCCTTTTTGGCCTTTCGGTCGGGTGGTTGGGTTTTCCTTCTGCATGTTTTATATATATATATATGTGTGTGTGTGTGTGTGTCCTTTTTTGTTTTTTGTTGTTGTTGCTCGCAGGTGGACGGTGGCGCATCAACATTAAAGAGAAAAATGAGACAAAAACAGATTTAATCAGGGGAAAAGAAAACGAAGGCGGTGAAGGCCGCACCACAGATAAAGTGGCAGGAATAATAATTAGAGCAGCGGCGGGAGTAACACAAGGAAGAAGAGGGACCAGAGGGGTGTGCACAACAGGCGAAAGAAGACGGCGGCGAATTGTCACTGCCCCCCCCCCCTTCCCCGAGGAGAGTCGTAGCG